AAATTGTTGCTTTCGAAGAAAATTTTTTTTTTATTACTTTTAAATTATCTTGCTTAAAAAAATTTCAAAAGAATAACTACATTTTTTATTATAAACTTGGGAAGTTTTTTTTCACAAACATATCAAAGTTCTTTTAAAAATTTGGTAAGTCTTTATTATTATTTCCAAAAGAATATATATTCTATAAAAATATTCTATAATTTTATTTTTACAATAATCAATTTCCAAACTATTTTTAAATAAAAAAATTTGTATATAACTTTAGAAAATTAAAAAATCAAGAAAATCGGAAAAACAGTTTGAGAGCCAATTGAATTGATATAAAAAAAATTGGCCGTGATCTCTTATATATAGTGAAGATTAGATTTAATAATTGTGTTGGATAATTGGACTTATAATTGATGTTCGCCGATTTTCTTAATGAGTTTGGGCTAATTGAATTGATATCATAAAAATTATGGTTGTGATCCATTATATATAGTGAAGATTAGGTTTAATTGTATTGGATAATTGGGCTGATGTTGGCCGATCTTTTTTAATGAGTTTTGACTAATTTAGTTAAGGATTAATGAGTTACAATGCCATGCCATATTTTTTACAATGTCATGTCACATTAAAATTGGGAGAGTGATTTTGGTGAAGATACATAAGCAAATCACTCTCCAATTAATATATAAGAGATTCTTTTTTTTTTAAAGGTTTAGGGTGTATATAATAGTATTAGTGCATTCGATGTTAACCAAATCAAATTATGTGGGTGATTGGTTGGGGTGTAGCTGTAGATTAATTGCTGTAGAATTTGAACGGTAGACGTTTTTGCTGTAGTTTTGGAATTTTGGCTGTAACTATTCAAAAGTTAAAGTATTATTGGTAAGTAGTAGATGTCTGTTGTACAATTTTTTATAATTATAATTATAAAATAAATTAATTGATATATATATGTATATATTTTTTTTTTCTTTTTAGGTATAATTCATATTTATATTAATAATGTATATGGAAAATATATTTAACTAATATAATCTTGTTTCTATATAAAATTAAAAGAAAATATGCATATATACTAATATTATATATAGGTAGTACATATATATTAATATTTGAGAAATTTCAAAAATGCCAATTTTCAAGAGTCATTTTACAAAAATGCCACACTTTTAAAATTTTTACAAAAATATTACTTTTTAAAAATTATTTTTTTTTATATTATTTATGTTTGTGTTAATTATGTTCTATTATGGTTTAGTTTTGAGTGTTTGGGGGGTTTTAGGTGTCAAAACATTTTTTAGGGTTTAGAGTTTTAAGATATAGACTTTATAAATCTATAATTAGTGGCATTTTTGTAAATGTACAACCATAAATGGCATTCTTGCAAATGTGCACACAAAAAATAGTATTTTGTAATTGCTCCTTAATATTTTGTATAAGTAGTACATATATATTAGAGAAATTTTAAAAAATGCCACATTTCATATGCCACTTTACAAAAATGCCACACTTTAAAATTGTTTACAAGCGTGCCACTGTTCATTGAACCAAAAGTCAAATCTG